ATGATATTGTAAAAAAAGAAATGTCTGTGGAAATCCATTTAATCTGATTTCTTAAGTTGATATATTTCTGCTTCACTGTGTTGAATGGCATGGAAAGTTTGATAATTGGCTACTAAAATGAATAAATGACATCCTCAAAGATAGGCTAGGTTTGCTGGTCTGACACAGATCAAGCACCAGGTGGCGCTGGTGGTTAAAAACCTAATAATTGTCAAGTAGCGTGTTGCTGTGGTTATTAAACACCTGCTGGTGCGTTGTATTGTTGCTGTTCTCTCATGGAAAACAATTTTCCATTTATAATTTGCTTTCTGAGGCGCTCCAAGTCTTATATGGTTAAAAGGTGCTTATTTTGTGCCGCTACACATTTAATAACCTGATTGGGGTGTAATTGTTGTTTAGATTTGCTTTAGCTTAAAATAAAGCTGGAAAAAAAGAACACTTAAAGAACACCAATAGCGCATTATTGCGCTTTAATGGGACGGCAGTCCATTCTTAATGTTTGACCTCTGGCTCGCCGAGGTGATAATTTACGACGTATGCTCTCCCAACCTCTTGAGCTCTCCCCGAGGAAATCAGGCTGGATCTATGGCCATCATTTACATCTCCTCGAATTAAAGCAGCACTGTGTAGTTATGGCCCCAGGCCTCATGAATCAAACTTTATTGACCACTTGGAGAGTTACGGACACCCGTTGAATGCAAAGTGCCGGTGAAAAGACCACAGAGCGGGGGGGAGAGGGGAGATGAACGTGTTCGAGGCGTAGCGATTGAAGGCGGGATAACCAAGCAGACTGTGATGGAACTGCTGCAGCTGCTACTCATAAATATTTACGTTCTCCTCCCAGTGAGATTCTTTACAACCAGGGGGATTGAAGCGCACATTGATATTCCCTTAAACAATAAATATAAGAACCTATTTGCCCAAAAAAAATCAAGCTTTATGCCATTTGTGATGAATTTGGGAAGTGTTTTGTAGCCCAGGGATCTGTTCATTCACAGTAAATTAATCGGATATTGTGTTTTGCATCTGCTTGAGCAATGATGGTTTGCTTTGGTAGAATAAAGACAAAGGCCTTTGTAGAGTGCTAACGTCAGGCTAAGCTGGAGCCGATAGCCTGACTTATTTATTAGCTAACATAACTTGTTGAACTTGAGGTTCTCCTTGAAGAGCTAAAATGTAAATGGGGATAAAATTCTGCATAAGCACTTAAACGATAACCACTTAAGCAAGTGTTTAGTCTGTATTTTTGCTTGCCTTTGTAGGAAAATGAAAATCACAAAATCTATAGACCTAAATTAGCTTGTTGAAGCTAATTGTGTAATATAAATGGTACACCTGATTGGCAGCAGTAGAAATAATTGGTGATTTTCTGTGCGGAAAAAGGAGCATGTGGATGTCAGTTTTTGTAAATTCTGTATAAAATATGTTAAAGTATATTAATTGAAGGTTGTCTTACTGGGGAAATCTCTTACCAGCCTATGCTCTGTATGAAACCGGTGTTTGACTGCTCTAAGTTCCCACTTCCTTTACTTAAATCAGACATAAAATCTATTGCGAAGGAAGAAATGCAAAATAAATGAAAACGAGCAGAAAGGGAAACTTTTTTTTTTTTTAATTGTAAGATGAGAAAAACGTCAAAAAAGGAGGGAAGGGAATATTTTACCAACCTGACAAAAGTCTTAATAAAACAGACACCAGTTTGATGGTACATATTTAAATTCTAATCTAAAACAAACTGGCAAGCAAAGAACTTTCCTTCATTCTCACAGGCCTTTTGCCCCTAATTAACAGGACCAGGTGTGGCTAATTTAGGCAAGTTGCTGGGACCGTTTATTAGCATTTAGCTGTGATGTAACTGTGTAATGGAGAAGAGTTTAGCTTAAATACTTATTCTTTTTGTCTGGAGCAGAGTGGTGAGTCTATGACTTTGTTTTTTATTCTTTTATTCTTTTCTTCCACCTTGTTTAACATTACACAGTTAGCTAAACCAGCTAGCTATAAGGTTGATTTTTGGTTGGGTAGGAAGAATTTAAAGTGGTAACATTTTAGAAAGGCTATTTTTGGGGTTCATGTTTTCTTCATTATTAAAAAAAATATATATTTTTGATCTTTACATCAAGGGTATGTAAAATATATTGACTGAAATGTTATTTTAGAGTGTGTTTCTGGAAAGGCCTGACAAGGAACCTTATAACGAGTAATGCCTTATTTAGAAATAATTTAAAAATTTGTAAGGCTTTATTATTGATTCATGGTCTTTATCATTCAAATGTGGTTATGTCTTGCTAATAAATAGCTTTCTATAAGAAGACGGTTGATTCAGGAGTCTCCATAATTTATTAAGCTCATAGCATAAAAGCAAAACGTTTTTCTACATTTGGACCTCAAGAGTACTGAAACGACCCTTCACTGAGGTTTTTAGTCTTTGGTCTAATTCCAGAAACACTTTAGGTGCTTCTGTACAACCACGTTGGGGAATAATAGAAGCAACAACCTTGAGATAGCATCTGTACTACTAATAAACTGTGACTGCTTAAAATGTAGTGAAATGTTGCTGTGCTAGCATTTGTTTTGTACCAATCTTTGTTCTTCTGCATGTGCCAGCAGGTGAAATTCATAAATGTCAGATTTATGATTTAATTTTTTCTTTTTTTTTTTAAATACAACATTTAATAGCAGATTAACTAACATAATTTATGCTTTTTTTCTATGAAATCCCTTTATGGGACTTGTGAAAAAATGGGAGGTAATTGGACTGGCGCATACTTAAATATTACCAACACAAAGGCAGTAAGGCATTGACCCAGCAGAAATCAATACACTGACCTTTGGTTTTTAACTTTTTTTCTTTGTTAAATGGAATTTATTGTTTTATAATTAAATTGTCTTATTTTGTAATACGACTAGTTAATACCTGGACAAGCTTCTTCTTAACAGTGCAATGACAAATCCATCTTTTGGGATGAAGGGGATTGTTGCCTCATGACTCCAGTGGTTTACGTTGGTTGTTTTCTGCCTACCTTTAGATAGTCAATGCATGGTAGGGTTTTTTTTTTTCTTGTGCTGCAAAGACAAAGTGTGGCACGCTTTCCCCATGAGATTATATTGTTTCTTGTGATATTCAAGAAGAAAAAGGGGCAAATTAGTACTCATGCATCATGGATGAGTTTCAAAAGCCCCCCATGTAATTCCACAGCTGAGGGAAAAGACTTGAGCAGCCCAGCTGTGTTTTTAGCAAGTTTAGCATTTCTGTAATTAACTGCTTATCCCTAATTTTTTCCTGCCTTTTTATTTCCTTCATCACCTATGGCAACAGATATTTTGTATTGTGCATTTCTTTGTCGTTGGCAGCCTAATGAAACGGCAGTCTTTCGTTGCCACGAAAAGACTGCTTTTCCAACATGTTGCCAACAGCAAGGCCTCTAGGTGTTTTGTGGGGCTCCAGAGCTGTGTGGTCCTCATGTCCCAGACGAACCAGTCATGAGCTGACAGCACTTGACATAACTGGCCTTAAGTAAGTGACGGGGTCGCAGTGATACATGGCATGCCAAAGAAGGGAGGGGGAACGTGTGTAGTGGCTCAGAAAACATGCTGAGATGAGGATCGTGTTGGAGGTGATGAAGGGTGAAACAAGTCGCATGGCCCAGTGTCATGGCGGTGTTGCTTTGAGACAGGCTACTTGTCACTTGGATGCTATCCTCACAGATTATTGGGGCATTTGCCTGGCCAGCCTCATGTGTAGATGCACGTCATTGCAGTTAAAAAAATGTGGATTTGACAGCGCCAACATGTTCCCTACAGGGAACCAGTGTTCAGTACATGATCTGTCTCTCGCTCTCTCCACCCCCCCAAGTTTACACCAACAGATGACATGCTTTTTACACATTGTCCTAGTCAGAGTTTATCTTTGAAGTTATGTCTTCAAGGGCAACTATGGCAACTGATGGTCCCATTTACAAGTGGGATTATCAGTTTGTCTTGAGTGTTGTACTGCTGACTAAAGGTTCCCACATATTTGGCAATAGAGTGGATATCATGCAAGCTGTGCAGATGGTTAAGATTTCAACCATCCGCATACTGATTGCCTACATTTCTTGGGACACATTTCTTCATTTTCCACAATCCAGATGGATACTAGAAAGTTTGAACTATTTGGGGGTCTGGTCCCGTTTCTTCTCCACCCTCCACCAGGAGCCATCACACATCTGTTGGTGCAGCACAAAGTAGCACTGACACACTACCTGATCAGCTCAGTGTCTCATACACACCATTTGATCTTTAGTGATCTTGTGAATGAGTCATAGGTTTTCTCTCAGCACTACATTGAAGGTTTACCAGTTCCTCCCACTGATGTTCACCGGATTCTCAAAGGTCTGGAATTGACTTTCCATAGTAATAAATGTCAATAACTTAGTTTCTAATCTGTTCTTGATTTCCTTTAGGCTGTGAACAGGATGTTGCTTTGAAGATGTTTTTCCTGTGTTAAACAGCTTCTGTCTAATTTCTAGCATCAACCACGTCTGGATGTTGACAGTTAAATTATACTCAGCTTTCCAAAATGAAAAAAGACTTTTAATGCATTTAACTACATTTTCAAAAAGGATTAGATTCCTTTGCATAGATTTTCTCAAATAGTAGATGAATTCATTTAAGATTTTACTCCAACAATTCTGTTATCTGTCTTTACTTCAACTCATTTCCTCGTGACTATGATTCAGTCTTTGGTTTAAAAAAAAACATAAAAAAAACAGACACACACACACAATCAAAACCAGTCCAAAAAGGAAAGCATGCTGTAGAATGCTCTTCTCTCTCGCTCTCTGAGCTCCATGGCAACATTCACTTTGATATGCAGATCCTCTTGCCATTTGTACAGTGCAGCACCAATGGGGAATATTGACTTTTTGGAGAGGCAGATCTTTTGCATTAATTGAGAGCCTAAAACAGTGCTGCTCATTTCCCCTCGCATCTGAATGTTGTCTCATGTCTTCATTCCACAGAAGCAGGGAGGGAACTGAACTCGGACGCCGCGCTTTGAGGGAGACGCTTCAGAGGGTATCTGCTCAGCCTCCAGTCTGAACGTCTTCTTCGGAGTCACCATGGTGCTGCTTCGGTAACCTCCACCTGCTTGGTTTTCATCCTCCTGCTCAGACCTTTTTTCCTATTTTTTTTTTTTTCTTTTTCTCCAACCACACAAACAAACTCCTGCAATGGATCACCTGTGTCCAGGTGAAGGCGTGAGCTGGACACAGGCCCTCGTCGGCAAACTGTAGCGCTCTGGATTTTATCAAACGCCGTCCCCGTGATCTTGCCCTGGAGTTATTCTTCATTTGGACCAGGAATGGACGTACCAGAGTCGAGCAAGCATGGCAAGAAGTCCACATGTCAAAAACTTGAAGACCAGAAAAAGGTAGGCAAGCACTCAGCTAATCATCTTATCCAGTTTTTACGATTATGAAGCTGAGAAAGGGAAGTTTTATTCCTCTTTATGAAAGAAAAAAAAAAATCAGATGTTGATCCGATCTCAGTTCCCAGGAGCTTCTTCACTTCACTTATACAGTAGCTACTTCTAAAGATAAGATTGGAAGAGGTGGAGTCTGTGCTCCCCCCTCAGAGCCTTCTGCCTTTCATCTGAGCTCATGTGGCTCGGTGGGCAGATTCAGCTCTAACTCGTCTCTTGGGATTACATATCCGTCTCTGTTTGAGATGCTTTTTATGATCTCACTTCTGGAGTTTGTGGTATATTCCCTGCTATGTTTCCCGTCGGTAGGCTGCGGATGGCCAACTTTGAATGAATAATGGGTGAGTGGAGGCATACTTTGAATCTTGCCGAGCACCATTGATTCTCTGTGGTCTTGATGGGTGAGTGGATGGGGGGGAGGAGTTGCACATTATGACTTCACTCTTGTCTGAATGCTGGCTTAAGAATGACGGTTCTAGCCACAGTCTGCTCAGTAAAAAATGTAGGGTGTTTTCACACCTGATAGTCCGGTAGACTCTGCTCCGCTGGGAACCAAAGTTGCAAGATTTCACATTTTCAGCTGCTGTGGTTCGCTTTGCTTTAGTCAGTTGCTGCACCAAGAACCACTGAAGGAAACCACCCAAAAAAACAAGACACAATCACAACTTCATGAGCCATTTCTCCAGTGAGAGTGTTCTGAACTGGGTGATCTGTACCTGTCAGGTGTTGCTCTCTCTCGCCTATCATCAGCTGCGGATGCCCCCCCCCCCTCATGAAAACATGAGCGCATTGTGGGATGACTAATTTGCTTGTAATTGAAAATGAAGTGGACCATTTTCACTGAGGGTCATCTAATGAAGTTTATTGTTAATATTCGTTTTTGTTCATCCAATAATAGATGAACTACTCTGAAGATTCAGAAATGTTTATACATGATATCTGGGTTTTAAACCTTTGTACTACTGAAATGTAATAAAGAGCAGATGCTGATTAAACCAGAACTTCTGGCAGATAACATGCAACTTTCTTGACAAACTAGCCTCTATTGTAAATGTCTTCTGATGGATTCTGGGAAAGAAATGTGTCCCTCCAGTTATTATGAATTCACTTTCTGTAATGGGGCTGAATCCAAAACATCTGTGATGATTTGTTCTCTTTTTGTCTGCATAAAGTGCCGAGTTTCACAATCTCATGCAAAACAAGTAATTTCCCATAAAAATCTTTAATGGGATGTAATGTGTGCTCTTTATCAGTAAGACCTCTCTGATTTACTGCTCTGTGCAGCACCGACCACATCCTGTTTTACATTTATTTTCTCTTAAGCCCGTACCAGAACAAGAAGCTACATTTCAATTGTGAGTTTATTAGGATTCACAAAAGCTGATGGGTTACAAGTATTTTTTTTCTCCGTTTTTATAATGAATAAAATGTGGCAACAGTTTTATTCAGCTGTAAAAAGATGTTTTTATTTTTAGTTATTTTTTCACATTTCCATCAGATTAGCATAGTAGTAATTAAACAAAAACTCAAAATATACACTGGTCTGCAATGTGCAGCTTGACTCGATAGCATGAATAAATTCAGAAGTATTTCTAGAACGTGTTAAAACAAAAGTGTTTCTGTATGTGCCTGGTCACCTTCGACCGCACCGAGGCAGAACGGCCTCTGAATACCTACAGGACCTGAACATAAACCAATAGAGAACCTCTTCCCCCTCCATCCTCTCCACGTCTGACCTGATTCTTCTAATAAGGTGCTTTTGATAAGCCTAATGAGCGTTGTGGCGAGGCCCAGGAAACGTCTGAGCACAGCAAATGTGCAGTAATACATCAGCCTTGACATTTGTAGCACTATTAGGATCTCATAAAACACATTATGGTGCTTTAGTATTCTTTTCTCCTTTTAGACCTCACTGCCATCATTGAGGTTTGTTTTTTTTCTTCTTCAGCATAGCAAATCCTATAATTCCTTTCTTTATTACTTAACATTCCCTTTCTTCACCTTCAGGTAATTGAATACATATAATAGTTTAGATGATTTTTACACATCTTATTCACCGTTGTTGGGACAAAATTATTTGTTAGAGATGTTTCAGACAAGATTTGTGACTGATTAGATCAGTGTAATTTAAGAATGTTTTACTGTATTAGCATCTATTATTTGACATATTGGTATGTGTCCCATAAGTAAAACTGGCTTAATAATAATGACCAGAGCTTATTTCCAAATTGCTATTTTTGTATGTTATTCAGCAGGGCATTGGTCATGTGGTATTTATCTGGGCATTTAACGTGATTGTGGTGCACAGAAGCAATGTCCCTTGGTGAGTCTTTTTTTTTTTTTTTTTGCCATGGTGTACTAATATGTTTGTCTTATTTAATTCACCTAACGACACACGGCTGCAGTCTTCAGTAAACTGATGTTTTTATCTTGAGCAGTTAGCTGAAGTGCCAGGCTAATGCTAGCTTATTGTTTTGTGAAGACTCATTGATAATTTGGCCCTTTGCATATTTCAGTGACGTTCTTGTTAAATTTGCAGGTGAAACTTGCAGAAAATTAGTTTCTCTAATGTTTGATAAACGTAGCACTTTGAATGTTATACTATTAAAACGCTGACCCCCAGACACATTGTTTCTGCACAATGTGTCTGGATAGCACATTGTGCAGAAATGGTCGTGTGACAGAGTTTTCACTTTCACTGTGAACATTATCGTAACACTTTGAAGTCAAACAATTTTGCAAGCTGTTGAAGGCGGCTGTGGTTTTTTTAAAAAACATATTATGCTAACTGGAGCCGCATGGCTCGATAGGAGTCATAGAGTACTGTGAGCCATCTTTACCAAATTAACATAAATACTATATTTGACCAGAGTTCAGTAAGGCAAAAAAGCATTAATGTTCAGCTCTTAGAAAATAAAAAAAATTGACTGCTTTTTTAAAAAATGTTTTACATTGCTGTTATTGCTTCCAGACATGAGTAGCCTAATGAGGATGTACCATCTGTGCCGTCAGTGCAGTTGTTTGTTTTGCTTATTACATGAATTTAACCAATATTTGCCAATGATGTCAAGGGCTTGGAAGGATTCTGCTATTAGGACACGGCCACACAGATGTGTTCCTTGGATCCATGCGGCTGTGTGGATGGGAATGACGAACAGGAAACATTGCTTCATTGTTTTCACCCTTTAACCACTGCTCATAACTGTAAACACTGCAGATTACACCTTGATCATTAGGACTGTAAAATCATCTCGCAGCTGGACCTGAAGGTTTAAGGGACAGCTGGTGCTTGTAAAAATCTCAGTTTAACAGCAAGCTACTTCGTTTTCTGCCAGGGTCTGTGTTTTTGTTTCGTTTTTTTTCCCTGTATCACTTGTGGGTTTGATTTAATTTATTTAAGCATTTTTAAAATGTGTTGAAACACAAGAACATTGAGTGCTAGTAGATGTTATTAAATTGACTTATGAAAAACCCAAACAAACAATAATAAAAATCTCTAAATCAGTTTTAAAATGCAAACTTATCCAATTTCAGCCACCAGCTATATGCAGGTAGTGGATTTTCCCCGACTGGTTCTGCATATATTTGATGTATTCTGGTTAAAATCCTAAATTTTTTTTAATCTAGAATATAATCTAGTTTTATATTCATAACAGTTTTCTTCATCATGATCCATATAGGAGCAATTGCCACCCTTATTTTGAAAAGGTAATATGATTAATTCTTAAGTTACTTTCTTGGTAACATCCAGCAGCTGCTGCCATTCTTAATAGTCACTTTATCACAAGTGTATTTTTAACAGTGAAATCAACTTTTACTGCCAAGTTAATGTGTTAACATAATGGGCTACAGTTATACAGTGACCCACTCTGTTTTTGAGTTAAAATGACATTTTAAGTTTTTCAGTAACCTAGCGTAAATGCTTGTTTTAAATATAAAATAAACCTTTACTGGTTTTGCTGGGTGGTGGAGGACTTCCTCCTGTAGTCGCACCACCTGCTGGAACTTTCTCTTTAGGTTTGATTGTGCTGTGCGGCAACTCAAAACGGTTCTTAAAGTTTGACATAACGGTTTTTGAAGCTAAATAAGACTTTGTCACCAGAACAGTTTGTATAGCGAACCTTAATATTTTTGTCCTTAGCTGACACAAACTCAAAATAATGACAGTATTTCCAGCTAGCAAACGCACATCTCTGTCCTCCCTCCATTTTCGTTAGTTTGAGTTGTTGGTTGTTTGGTGACTTGTTGCATATGTGGCGCCACTCACCATGACTCAAGAAGATGGCAAATATGGGTTTATACAAAGGAAAGTGACAGAAATGATAACGGTGTGATTTGTAACTTTAACCTTTGGAAGGGTTTCCCTCAGGAAACATGAGACGCCCCGTTATGGGGGTGCTGGTGCAGTCACCCAATGGCCCAGCATGTTTTTGAATTAAGAAATGTTTAAAGTTGACAAGACATTTGAACAATAATTGGGTATTGTTAATGTCTCCTACTAACTCATAATTACCAAAACACCAACTATAAAGTCTTAAAATACTTCTAATACAATGGGAGAACTCATGCTTTAGACGACCAATTACTGAAAAAGTGGTTATATTATAATCAGGCATCACAGGCTGGATGGAGCAAATCCGTTTAAGGAGCTCCATCCACATGCTTTACAAGAGCATTCTTTCCTGCCCTTGTGACAAGAAAATAAATTACTTTTCTACTTTGAAAAATAATGGAAAGAATCTTTTAAATTGCTCATATTTAAACGAAAAAATTATTTTCTCCCTCTAAAACGTGGTGACATAAGTCATCAAATTTCCCGTCAGTCACCTTTGCCTTTTCATTTGCTGCCTGCTATTGAATAAGACCCCTTCTTCTGCTCTCATAATGACTATTCCAGCTGCATAAAGCTGGCTAGTCAAAGATGAGTAAATAATTCAGCAGCACACAAT